AARATAACTTGCGCTTTATCCTTCTGTAGAGACGCGGAAGCATTACGTAAGACAACATGTTGATTATAAAAAACGAAACTAAATCTTGTTGTAAAACATTGCACTATATTTATTGGTAATAACAATTTCAGTACTACCTATAAATATCAATRCTAAACAATAGTGTAAAATACCTTAAAACAATTCAAATATAATTATAAATATAAAACTTATAAATATAAAACTATGTACAAAATACAGCCAGCGATTATTAATGGACTTTAAAAACATCTGAAATAGCTGTTAAATGTAAACTTCAAGCCGCTCATTTCCAGGCAAAGTGCTTGGACTTCGTGTATTTTTTAAACAGTTCTTTCAGTATAATCAAATTCATTGGGATTCCAGTATTTCATGGTGTTCAATCCTGTGTTTCAGATACCCTAGAGTAATGTTGCATCTCCGTTTGCGTTATCTGACAGTAAACCTTGTTCAGTYGATAAATCGGGTAAAAAGATGGGTGATTTGATTTTTTCTCTTTTTTCCACTTCTTTGAATGCCTTGGGGTCGGGTTTCAATAAAACTTGCATTTTCTATGAAGAAAGCAAAAAGATTTTGATTAGAAACTCTTCTCTCACATTATTAAGGTTATTGACCTTTTTTAAGTTCTTTGGCTTTTGAAGGGAGCGGCAGTCACCCTGTGTACCTCCACCACGCCCTTCGCTGTCTCAATTTCCATTATATTATCAATCGTAATGGTACGTACCTCTTTAAACGTTTTCCCTTCCGCATAATAGTACTGAATGCASGCAAAGATGGGGATTTGAATCATCGACGCAAACGCTATCAGCCATCCAAAGAACTCTGCCCAGTCGGGGTAGGGCTTTTTATTGTAACTTACTCCTTCCCACATTGCTAACTGGGCTATAATGATTCCCTGCAAAACAAAGGAATCAACCATTTTTTGCCAACTACAGTGAACTTTCGCCTAACGTTTTCGCCGATATTATGGACACTTCGTTMTTAYGCACACTCGGTCCAAGCTTTCTGAAYATAGCTCTCTTTACAGCGGACASTCGGTTTTCGGTSTAAGTATTGTTCATATCATAGGCAATATAGACCTACCAGYGTGAATACAGGAGAGAGGTATTTCCAACATATCATGAAGTATATGTGTGGTTTTTTACCCGTCATGTTTTCGACCATTCTGGACAGAACATCGGTCCCTGAGATAATGGAAAGGAATCGGTCATTCAATTCGCGTAGATAATTCATATCGCTCATACACAATCTCATATCATGTTATTATTTCAAAATATCAAACAATGTCAGTTTTCATTTTTCACCGTTGTACTCGACCGTGCATTTCTTCCTTGCGCCCTTTCTTCCTTCAACCAGCTCTCGTAGCTTGTTGCTTTTCAAGTTTTTCAGCTCCACTTTCCTTCTTCTAATTTTGCTTTCTAATTCCTCTTTTATTTCACGTTTTCTTTCATTCATTTCCTTTTCCTTTGATTACAGCCTTACGTTTCCTTCTACACAAATAGTTTCATTTTCCTTCTCACTTTCTAATTCTTCTCCCATTTAATCTTTCATCCTGTAACTCTTTCCCACTCGCCTCATAAGATATCATTTTATAGCATACAATGATCTAGTCCTTCTTACCTACTCCCCAACCGATAACCAGAGCTTCACAAAACCCAACMACTAGTAGAGAAATTCCTCCAGATTGATAATCAAATAGATTAAACACRTACATGCCACCCTGGTAAATAATATGAATAATCAATAASTTGAAGTAACACAATCTACTARTAGTAACGCAATCYTACCTCGGCGCACATCGGTAACGCAAGTAGAAACAGAAGCACACAAGTCACAATRAGAAACAACCATTTGTATTTTCGRAGATACTTCGGGTATTCGTCGGAAACCGCRGTGACTACCACTTCAACCATYGCAAACTATGGATTAAATGATRCTGATAGTAYTTTGTAATGTGGGAGGAGTGGGTGCGAATGGATTTGTTACCTGGCTGTCAAGTCCAAGTGTTATCAACATAAAGAAGAACAATATAGACCATAATGTCGACACAGGCATCTGAGAGATGGCTTCTGGGTATGCTACAAATGCAAGTCCTGGACCTGTGGAGACAAAACCAACAGTCATTCCCRTCATATGTATGCTTCCTCGTCAATGTCTCGGTTCTYCGAGATTTAGCCGATGTTTTCCCGATTCTTGATCGATGTTACTTAATCGGGATTCAGATTMCTGGATTCTTCCCTATCTTTATCGATATTGCTCCATTGTTTCTTTGAACCATTCCGATTTAGTCCCGATTCTTCCCCGAAGTTTTCTTACAAGTACATACCATTGTCTGCKACTTTGTCTACTGTAGTCTCCAGGACGAATGCCATGTAACCCATGACACTAAATATAACAAAACCAGCGAAGAAACTTGTACCACAGTTGATAAGACAGACGATTAAAGCGTCCCTGGGAATCACATAATGATATATATTCAATATCAGTTTCCCAGGATATTTGTTTGTGTTTTATACGTAATAATTTAAGCAGTTTATCAGTACTAGTGCTATAATATAATCATAATTATAACAATTAAAATGATTGAATACAATGAACTTTAAACTGGATTTTTTATGTTACGGCTTGCGCTTTCTTCAGAATGCTGTTACAATGAAAGCTTCACAATGTAATTCTCTCTGCATACGCCCATCTGTAAATAATTGTGTATATAATAATAATTATTAGTATAAGTGCGTTGGTTCTTACTTCTCACAGTTGTTATGGAAACGGTTGTAGCTTCCGAARGTCARRAGMGAACCAAACCCTACACCAAGTGAGTAGAAGATCTGAGTAGCGGCACGAACCCASACCTTAAAACAAACATATAACATGTRAATAAAACCATCCAACATTGGTGTTTGATTRAACTTATTGGATTCAAGTGCGTCCACCATTTCCCAAGRCCAAAAATTTTCSWCAACACGYAACAATGGTGTATCTTTTGGCCAGAGCGTTCTGACAGAGGATGCAGAGGACTTGTCTAACCAATTTCGTAAGGGACTACGCGACCATACGCAACAAACACRTACTAGTACCGTAAATCAAGGACGTACCTTAGGATTTGCGAGCTTYTCCCARTCTGGGTTGATATAAAATAGYACTCCTTCTCCGGCACCGTCTAACGTGACACCACGGAAGAACAGAATGACTAGAACCACGTACGGAAACGTAGCAGTGAAGTATACCACCTTTGGAATGAAWTGTTAACAAGACGTTAGAATGACTAAGGCTATGAACTGAAACGTAACATTCAGTCAGCTGCACGAACATTGGAATAAAAAAATTGGAATGTCTATGAAACGTAAGAATGACTAGGAATACGTACAACAGAAATGCAGCATCTTACGTAAATGTTAATGACGCGCGTAAGAATGACTGGGACTACGAACGCAAAGGTAGAAGCAATCTGCACGCAAACATCTGTATCTATGATACGTAAGAATGACTAGGAATCCGTAAAGCAGAAACGCATCATCCTACGTAGATGCTGACGACGCGCGTAAGAATGAGTTTAGCAAATCAAAGCGTACATCAAAACCCGTGACATACCTTTCCAGACGATTTGACTCCTTTCATAAGACACAGGTAAACCAAAACCCAGGAACCCAACAAACTTATAGTTGTCTCCCAGCTCATGGAACCAAGGTTACCAATACTATCGCTGATGCGCAGTATCCTATTGCTGTTATACGGAAATAGAAACGCCGATACGTACGTTAGTAACTTTTCTATCTGATTCATAATTCTTTAGTGATAACATTTTATAAACATGCTTTAAAGGTTTATTAGTTATGTACGTGAACCTACTTAAAAAATTCCTCAGCTGGTGATTTCCAGTTCGGTATACTGCAGTTTAATGGCAGCCCATATGCCGTGCAGTTAAAAGTCGTATTGCCCGCTACGTATCTTTGCGTCCTGTGGAAAATACACGCAAAGAATTACTTGCTTAACATCTTTTGATAAAACGTTTCGACTCCTACCCATAGTCTTCATCAGTTGTAACGTTGTGCAAGGGTTGTAGTATGGTTAGTGTTGGTGTTTTTTTTAAATGTACAGCTTTATACCTGCAAAAATCCGTATTCCATTCGTTACCGCAATCCTTCCATGGAACTTCGGTACGGAAAGATTGGAAGAGAAACATCATGACCCAAGCGATGATGATATTATAGTAGACAGCAACGAGAAAAGACAGTGTGATCATAGCAAATCCAATACCTAGAAACATTAAACGAAAATTACAATGCTTACACCCATCATTTGCTTGATTGAAGTGGCTAAGAATTCGCTTTTTATGCTGTGTTGTTTTGCTTTTTTGTTTGGGCTGCTATTGCCGTTGCTCTCTTGTTGCTTATTTTGTTGCTCATTATGCATTGCTGTTAGTTGCCGCAGTTGTTGTTGCCATTGTTATGGCTGCTGCTGTTGTTTCTATTATTGCTGATGCTTTTGTCGCTTTTGTTGTTGTTGCTGCTGCTGTCGTTGTATGACTGTTGAAGCATCTGKTGATTGTGTTGTTCGTTGTCGTTCGTATAGTAGATGATCATTCCCTTACCTCGTGCTAGGGGACACAGTGCTGTCCATGCCCCTATCGTTCCTAGACTAAGATACTGCCCAACAGCCAACTCCATGTAAAACAATGGGATGCCATTAAACGCAAGCATCAGAAAATACGGGATAAGAAATGATGCTGAAATATAAAGTGTATACAACCATTAACAGTGCAGACAAAATTGTCTTATTCTCTTATGTCGATTTAAATCTTTTTTTACGTTTCAATTATTTCTTCATTGAAGACAGTTTACGAAAAATTCCTGGTGAGATACGAGTATACGCAAGCCGTCCGCGTAACCGCAAAAACTGAACACGCTTCCATAAGAGATGCGTAAGTGATGTCTCCTCCGTGGAGGCCCTCTTGTTCAGTAGTTTTCCAAAGACAATAGAAAATCCATGTAGATTATCTTCACCATTCAAACATAATATCCTTAATGTTCTTAGTCCAACAAAGGACGTCTCTGGTACAATTCAATAGACRGGAGCTTTGTGCAGTAATTCAAAAYGTTGTAATTATAAAAAAGGTATCTTTTTACTGGTATTGTTTTCTATAAGATTTTTGCCTTTTTAATACACATAGTGCACTGATATATGACGGTAAGCAGTATGTTTTTGGTGTTTGACCAGTTAGCTTTGATGTAAAAGTCGCTGCGCAGGCGATTTATGATTTATACTGATGCACGTTTATGCATAATGGTACATTGCATAAAAAATAGAATTATTGGCAGCCCTGAAATGCCTAAATAATAGTAGAATATATCCTATTAGAGAGTTAGAGGTTTCAAAACTATCAGGCAATTMACGGATGAAGACGCTCCTACTTTTTTCCATGATGTTAATGAATAGTACTGGRGTACTTGCTAATTAACAGTTGTCCACTAGATATAACGTAACTTTGTAGTAAGAAAACATTGCTCCATAGCAGAAATATACGAAAACAGTTTATTTTATTTTTTGTAAGAACAGCTTAACACTTAAAAAATTAAAAAAAAATGCGTAACTCTCAATGGTTGAGTGCATTTGAAGCGACTTCGAGTATAAACAAACCCTTCAAATATTATCATTTCATGAGATTTCAATTATCAAATACTCTATTGTCCTTAACACAGTTTTATAAAGTTGCTGCAGACGTTTTAAGTTAATTCAAAAAGTATTTTTTTCTTAGGTTAACATTTGTTTTTGTTTTTTTCATTAATAACGTGTCTCAAGGCTTAAAGATACATTCATATGCAGTAACGTTATCAACTTACAAACTTCAATCAAGTTTACGCAGAAATAAGCRTTGTCCAATTTTTGCACTCCGTCTCTTTTAGCGTTTTTGTGAGTTTACTGTTGCAGCAGAAAGATAATATTGTTACGTGTACGTACGTTTGCTTACTTTCAGTTTCGGATTCATCGTTAATTCATTCATTCGAGTGCTTTGTGCCCTGGGTTATGTTAATATCACGAACCGTAAAGGARTATTCCTTCCAGGCGTTTGCGCAGCAAATAGATGCAACAAAATAGAGTATGAGAAGGCAAATAACATTCTTAGTCACTAGACCATATTGTTTACATTGGTAAACRTCACAGACATCGCTATATTGATAATCGTATACTCTAACCTTGCACCAATCAACCTTTTAATACGTTAAATGATTTTTCTGATCGAGCGTACGTAGCCTGGTTTGCGGCAAAAACTCACTACGAAAAACATTAAGTGAATACTTAGGAAATGCCTTTTCGTTAGMAAAGGTAATTGAAGAAACTTAAAGAGAAAAATGGGTTAAAACGCAGTTCCGAGTCTGGAAATTACTAATGTAGAAGCAGGCCAGATTAAAATGGATCATTAGCTTTTACCAAATGAGCTAAGAGAAGTGAAAATGTTTTCTCGCAAAAAAATGGACAATGAGTTTCTTTTTGTTGGTAAAAATGGGTGTACCYTGCAGACTTTTGGTTGTCCATGAGAGAGACCTACAAAGTCTGCAAGGTTTTAAGGGATTTGGATGGATGTTGTTAAGCCAAACCAACGCTATAAGTCATCCATGGTATACRTAAGTTGCTACATACCTCCGCCATTGTTATAACACAGATAAGGAAAACGCCAAACATTTCCAAGACCAACAGCGTACCCCACACATGATAACATGAAATCTATCTTGTTGCCCCATTTCTCACGTTCCTCTTCTTGTACTTCTACTTCAGGCTCAGGCTTAGCCAAGTCATCTACCATCCCTATACTTCCTGACTCCGGGTCAAGAAGCTCAGCCGTGCTCGGGACTGTACGCGAGTCTAAGTCCCTCAACCCTTCATTACCGTCTTTTTTATAATAATACTTATTTGACATGATTACTTAGTCATAGGAGAMCTTCCACGTGCGAATCTAACAGAGTTAACTACGATCCTTGTAAACAGTATGTTAATAACCCAATGCTAATCTTTATTCATAGTTT